ATTTTTTTGTTCTGTACAAGAAGAAAGTGCTTGCCGGGGTGTTTAAAATTGTAATATTTGGGGCGTAATTGCCTCTCAATCTATCGTTATGAGCATTAATCAAAATTTTCTCCTTTTACTGTCGTAATATTGTCAACACAAAATAGTTTTCAGGTATAAACACATCTGCATATATGAAGTACATGTAATCATAAAATGTATAAATTTGAAAAAAACTGTTGATTTTTTTTAGATGTATGGATGTGAATTAAAATGTATAAATGCTCATCTGTCTATAATTTGTATTCACATACACTGAATACGTTAATCTTAAATAATATATTATGATCGTACATTTTGATTTCCCCAGTGAGTTTAAGAGAAATGTTTCGGAATCATGATTAAGTTTCACACCGACCACAGTCTTCGTCGTAACATATTACTTATTTCTAAAAGGAAATTAATATGTACAGAATCAATATGTTATTTTTTTTTAAAAAAAAAGATATTTACCACACATTAACGCATGGGAAAATGTTTTATTCAAATTATCCTTTACCAATGTAGTACCCACAAAATGCACTGAGAAATTAGAACAGTAATTAGACCATTCACCCACCCCCCGACCCCTGCGGCTCTGATAAATGCTGCATTAGACAAACAGAAACACTAATTCGTGTTACAGAAACCTCATCACTATACGCCACTGAATACACAAAAATTGTCATAATTTAGCCAATGAAAAAGAAATCCACAAACTCCACAGCGCATTGGTTCCAAACCACACAAACACGTATCGCAAACTTGTTGCGCTGTGTAGTCTGACACAAGTTTTCCGACGTTTCAGAGGTGCTTGCTAAGTCCGATATAAGTCCCACATACCAAAGCACACAAGAAACCATGTGATAATAGAAACGTATTACGAAAAGGAGTTGACAAAATGTGGCAAGAGTTTTCCGAAATTCTTCCTTGTTAAGAGGACCATATGAAGCCCGAACTTTGTCGCTACAACGACAGAACTTCGCGTTCAGTGACACAGTGACGAGAAAAATGCGTTATCGAAGAATAAACGCCACAGAAATGTGTCGAAAATTAACAAAATACACACCCCTAACAAAAGAGAGAACGTTTCAAAAGTAAATTAACTTACCTTTAGTAAGAACACTTCTGTCCTCCGCTGGAATCATGGAAGAGAATCTTCATACCAGCGTCAAACATCTAGAAACATACCAAAGAACATCTGGAATCAGCTTAAAATCAATGACAGTTACTTCACATATCTCAAGTCGTTAAACGACGTTATTGGAATCAGCTTAAAATAAATGACAGTTACTTTACATATCTCAAGTCGTTAAACGACGTTATTCCATTACAATGATGATACTTTCATCGGTGATCTGCCCGTCGCAAGACCTCTCTTTGCCCGTACAAAGGACACGACTCAGGAATACGCGGGCAAACAACCATGCCTTTCACTGGGATTCGAACCCAGGTCAGAAATTTTGTTTCGCAATTGCACAAAATTATTTGTAAAACTGTTTTACGGCGACTGTGATGACGTTGATGATAACAGCCGCTTTCACCAAGACAAACACGTGTAATGACGAACTTTCGAACACAGGTGTTTTAATTTAATGTTCTGTCTGCTGATCGAGGACCCTTCGGTGTATTATGTACCAACGTCACATGTCTACAGCCTCCAATTGTGGACCATTTAAGGTCTCCCTCTCAACCCCAATCATCTAATCGTATTGTAGCCACCCCTCGGCCTCTCATCCCCTCATCCGGCCTGCGTATGATCGTACACACTTGAGGCCAGCCAGTTAAACGCCGTGAAGAACAGGTGTTTACCCGACGACCGGGCTCACACGGGGAAGGGGGCGCCATGAGAAAAGCTAGAAAATGTACGCGGACCACGACAATGAAGCCCGTTCGCCAAAATCTCACCATTAACCACCTTAACCACGGTAACGAAAGTAACTACAGTCGACCCCAGTCACTTTGCTGCGCAGAAACTCTTCAAGATTGCCAGCCAATGCGCACTTCAAGGCGCTGTCATGGTTCATGAGCGTCGTTCAACAATCTAATGACCAACAACACACACACACACACAAGCCGTGAAATGTAAAGTAAATTTGTCTCTGGCCCATCTGGGGAGATGGAGGTATAACTCCACTCTTTCTTAACCTCTGCGTTAGTGAACCAGGAGGACGATTGGGGCACAGAGCCGATGTGGACTTTGTGACAGGAAGAAAGATTTTTTCCCCCTGAAGGGAATCGAACCACGGTCGTCCAACCTGATGAGTGTAATAAGAGTATTTTCGCATGTTTTCAAAACAAATCAACTGGTGTTTTTATTTGCTGGGAGTATGAAAGAATTTATGTTAGTATTTTAAAATCCTCTTCTAATCTGAAGTCAAAATACACGTGGACTAGCACGTGGCCAATGAAATGCCATCACGATAAATTTATTGATTGCACGCGACCGACACACGACTCGCAGACAAACCTAAATCCACGAGGGCACATCAGTGCATATGTTAGCGCACAATACGTCTTTACGCATCCATTATAACAGAACGACAGGGGGTTGATGTGCAATGGTTGTTGGGGGGGTGGGTGCCAAGGGGTGAGGTGAAGTGCGGGATGCAGACACGGGCTTGTTCTACAAGAAACCGCACCGAACGTGCACGAGGGTTTACAATGTGACAGTGTATTGTTTTAATAATTTTATTTTCTGTTTATTCGTATTTTCATTTCAGCAAATTCTGTTTCGCAATTGTAGTTCTATTAAATAGTGGTCACAGATTTTTACATGCACAACAGATTTTAATACGAATTTTAAACAGGTTATAAAACAGAAAATTTCTAGATCTCCCCTTGAAATGTCAACACGGTAATTGAAGATGGACTCTTATATACTTCTCACAAAGTTGCCCTGTGGAATAAACCTTTTTGGATTTTCAAATACCACAGTGTGTTCCTTACTAAGTCATCCTATGAAGTGAACACAGGTTCGACTCCCGAAGAGACCTTGCTAAGGTCGGTGACGCATGAAGTTTGCCTGAAATCGAATTTTCATAATTCGAGGTTTCAGGTTCTCAAGGCGGTGAAGATGTCGAAGCTGTTCCTCTGGGTCGTGACGCCGTGTGGACTTGTAGGTACATACCGACGTTTCTACTACGAACGCGTTATACAAGACGCAACATCGCAGAAGACAGTGATTTTTTACGTATCACGCAAAATATAGTCTTTCGCATTCAATGCAAATCCTCATCTTTTACAACAAATCGTTCCCCTGCTAGTACGACACCCGCAAAAACCAAAAAGTTCAAGATGGCGGAGCCCACTGTCTCCAAAAGACTTGTGAGAGAATTGGTATTTGTTGCAGCTGACAGCGTGACGTCTATTGTAACACAATAGGATTTTTGGTCAGAGGGGTGTTGACTAGGACCCCCTCCCCTTATCAGTCAGGGTGACACAGGAAGGGGGTGGACGCTTGACAAGAAACCGAGATTCACCTCATCCTAGTGCACTTGCACCCCCCTCATCCCTCTGACCAGAGTTATTCTCAGGCTACGTACATTTAATAAAGGGAGAAGTACATGATATTGGACTTGTTAGGGGGTGCAAGGTGGGTTGAATTAACGGAGGGGAGTTATTTAAGGGGGTGGATCTTGCGCTCATGGTCATGTATCCTATAATATATAATGAGAAGTAAATGGTGATTGATACCACAGAGTCACAGTGGCTTTGGGGCTGGTCGTGTGCGATCATAGTGGCGAATTTATTAACAGTTTTCGTCTGAGTGATAACTTGCCTCGAGAATTAGGACATATCAAACCAATCCTTGGTAGGTCTTCATCTCACAAGCAAGGATTCTGTAAATTACTTAAAAGAGTTTATAAAACTTTTGGAATACTGACAAATGTATGGGACTGCTTAATCGGAAAAATGCACCCTGTAATACCACATAATTTACTGAGATCTGGGGCAGATATGACGCATTCTTCAGTTAAAGCATTGCTCGGTTTATCAAACAAAAATGGGAAATCCAGTCCTGTTAAAACTTCACCAGCTACAAAAATATCTGCCATTAGCGACATACCACGAGGGACCTTCTCAGAAGACATCACGATAGCAGATTTGACTGAAGAGGAAAATCATGTTTGTGAGAACGTAAGTAAGAGACCTGTTTTATTGAACCAGAGTAAACTAATACTTGTTTAAAATTCAATAGAAAGTAGCTTTTTTTGGATTATTTTTGGTGTAATATACGACAAATTTAATTGAGATTATGATTAGCGACGTGACTGTTGAAAATCATGAATAAATGTATCAGGACAGTCGGTCTCCTGGCTGGAATTTGAACCCGGAACCTTCAGAGTACGAAGCAGGGGAGCCAAACACATTTTTTTTTCAGACCTCGACGTTCGGTAGGAAACCTCACGGCCTGTGTTGTTAAAAACTTAGTTTCATGTCACGTATATTTCCTTGCGCTCACAAGGGAAAAATTAATTTTGGTGCGGACCTCAAAGAAAATCTTCAGATAACGCAACACGTAAAACGGCTGACAGATCAAACGTATCTTTCAGTGTTCTTATCCTGTTAACGACATGTCACTAGTAACATCTTTTACCTCCGAAATGTTTTGGACTTACATCACTCTTGGAATTTTTCAGATAAAAACATTTTCAATTAAAAAATTCTGGCTACAAATTCTGTGTTAAAATGTAAAGAGATACATTTATAAACTTTACAGGCTATGGCAACCACGTGGGATGGGGAATCCTCCGTGATGATCCCATCGTGGCCCCGCCTACACGTAGGTCAGTAGCCCCCCCGAAAAGTGACTTCACTGTCGCCATTGACAAAGATCACAGATAAAACGCGGAAAGTCCACCTGGACCGAACTGATGAGCTGTTTGTTGGGGGGGGGGCAGGTCGCAGTGTGCGTTTCGGAGGAAGGCAAACTGAGGGCCGTGGGTTGCGACAGGCGGTGGATACTTCACGTACGACTTGCAGATGACTGCCACAGCTATAACGTGATGCTGCAGACAAGTGGCGCCAGTAGTAACACCGCGACAGTCCACGTCGTGAGATCCATCAGTCGAGGTGAAGAGCTACAACTCTGGTTCTCTGAGCAGATGTTGGCAGCTCTGACTGTACCGTTCCTCACTCCACTCAACATACAAGGTAAGGCGATGAGCAAATCATGAAACGGTTAATTACTCTGTTAATTATTAGTCTGGCCCTCTGACACCCGAGAGAGAGTAATGAATGAACGGAAGTAGATGAGTAGAAACAAAGAAAAAATTACAGGGAAAGAAGTGGCAGACATTTTATTCCTTTCAGGAAAAACAGCATCTAATTTACAGAAGGTTCCCAGGAAATGCCCGCTCGTCCCAAATTAGTGAAGCTCGAATGAATAAGAGATGAGAAAATGGGGAAATTGCTATTGGTAATACGTTTAACGGGTGGGGGGGAGATGGGGGGAAATTTACGGTCATGAAGGTTCCCAGGCAGTGTCCGGTCGTCCTGACAAAGTCAGGCTGAAGGGGCGGATAAGACAGAGGGTGAAAAAATAGAAACAATGAGAGAATTTGAACAGGGTCTTAATGAATTCGTAAACAATTTTAAGTTTTGAAGCCCGAAGTTCACTCCTATAGGAAATACAGGACGTCTCTTTCACAAAGATCTACTGGTTAATAATAGTTATGCTAAGAAGCATCCAATTCTATAATTACAGGTGAGAAAAGATACGTGTGTCACCGTTGCGGGCGTCACTTCGAGATACCGAATCCACTCAAGATCCATCTAGCTCTTGACTGCGACCGACTTAAGAGATCTCACTTGTGGAGACGCCTGCGTCGCCATCTGTCAAGTAAACCTGAAGACAGCGACAGAAGAGAGCATGACACTTCGCCCGTGGCCCACACCACAACCTTCACCCCCCAAAAATTTGAATTCAAATTTGATTTAGCCTCAAAAGACGACAGAAACACTTACTCAGTTCTGTCAACCCCACAGGATCTGTCTGCTACTTCAAATAGAACCTGTGCTCCCAATACAGCAACATCCTCTTCTGTTATCAAGAATGAAGATCTTCAGGATGTACCAAATGAAGCAAGCCACGTCGTCGGACAGACGAGCAGACCAATTTCGGAGCCATTACATCATAGTAGCTCAGCATTCAAGCCATACTGGGGTAAAAGGACGACTTCCCTGAGTGTTGATGGTATTAGGACAAACAATGGGAATGACAGAACGACATCTGTGAATGTCCTTCCTAACTTAAGACCCCAACTGATTTCCCAGCCTCGCTTTATCACAAACAGAATGTCCTGCCATCTAGTAACTTTCAACCACAATCATCAGAGCGCACGACAACAGAGTTCCACCACGCTGCAGAGATGGAGACACTAGTCAGCAACCTTGGGAGGTCCAAACAAGGTCACCTTTGCATCTATTGTGGCAGACTTTATTCAAGAAAATACGGGCTTAAAATACACATCAGGTAAATTTAAATTTAAATTAAATTGTTACACCGTGTTGGAATAGTACATTTTCTCCACTTAATACAAATTCAAAGCTTCTAAATAAGAGGAGATGATTCTTCCGCAAAATGTTAATCTGGTGTGTAGACTACGCGGTCTCAGACTATCATGACGGCGAGGAGCGAGTACCTCCACTTCCGGGATACCCTTGCATGGCGTGGTACTTCGTTAAACAGGAGGTCAAGCAAATTTCTGCCCGGAACATCCTGACCTGTGACCCACAGTCATTGCCATCTTACCGAGTGGTCTTTTTTTTTCAGGACGCACACGGGCTACAAACCTCTGAAATGCAAGTTCTGTCTCCGGCCCTTTGGAGACCCGAGTAATCTCAATAAACACGTTCGGCTGCACGCGGAAGGAGACACCCCTTACAAGTAAGCAGCAATCAACACCTGTCCTATAACCCTACTCAAAACATCGGTCGGATATGTATCATTCGTCAACTTTACCCCAGAACTCCTCAGTTCAATTCGAGAGTGGTCCTCATTCTCATAAATTTTAGAATTTTCTTAAAACAGCCGAGTATAAAGATACACTCTCACACAAAAGTCAACTTAATCCAAAAAAAAAATGGTACAGGGATATGTAGGCCTATATCTCACAGAAGCTCAAAAACTTTTAAAATGAAAATCGTGTTGTATAAACGTTGACGTAATGAAGTTGCAAGGACAACGCCCATGTCGGGGTTCTGGGTTATAACCCAGTGTCGCCTTGAAAGTAAATATCAAGCTTTCGGCGAAATATACTGCATCCTTCTTCAGGATTCGGTTATGGCTCCGGGTATAAATTTTTGTCCTCACTTTCCGTGTGTGTTGTCTTGGAAAAGTAGAGACAGATTTGAAAACATTTATGATTAGAATGGGGAAATAGCGCGTGCGGAGGGATACAATGTTTACACCGACCCAATAAAAAAAGGAACCTTTCATGTAAATAATAAGTCCCTGAGTTTCAGGAAACAAAAGAAAATATTCCACACAAACCAGATTTGCCATTTTTAAACACCGTATTGAAACAAATGTGATCATACAATTTTATAGAAATTATTCTAGCATCAGCGAAACGTAACTTTTTTTTCCCGCTTTTCAGATGCGCCCTGTGTGGTAAGGTCCTCGTGAGACGCAGAGACCTGGAAAGACATGTCAAGTCGAGACACTCTCCACATCTGGACACGCAACAGCATCAAGAATCTAACAACGGCCGAAATTCGTAAAACTAGACTCAAAGACAAATTTTCCCGACGTACGGGAGTTACAAGATTCCTAACAAAGACAAATTTCCCCGACGTACGGGAGTTACAAGATTCCTTCCAAGTTTCAAAACATTGTAAAATACAATAAAAATCAAGACGTGGACCATAAAAATATCGCCAATTTAACAAGCTACTTCTTTTCCCTTGATAAATTTATAGAAAGTTTGTGGCAGTGAATCTAAATATTGTGGCCTATTTAATTATATGTTATAAGCACTCTTTAAGTTTCAGCTCCACAACACCAGTAGACCCGACCTCACACCAATTCAACTTCTAGATATTTCTCAACACTTCAGTAGCGTTTGCCCTCCCACCTAATTCTCCACACACGTCCTTTATTTCAGAACACGTAATATGCAAAACACAAATAACAAAAAAAACCCGCAAAATTTGGCAAAGAAACAAGTGCAAATTTGGAAGACCACGAATAAGATGACAATAAAATAAATCTTATAGTTAATAAATACTGGTACGAAGTGGCTCTGGGTCGCGTTCAATGAAAACTTAAGTTGAAGTTCCGTTGGACATTCTAGCTATAATGCCTGAGAATTCGTTACACATTCACGAACCATTCATCTGGATTATAAGGTAAAAAATATTGCATGACACATTGTCATGATCGTTAAATAACCACATAGATTTTAACCTGTTCATATGACATTTAACGCTGATATTATCATGATCATTAAATAACCACATAGATTTGAACCTGTTCATATGACATTTAACGCTGAGAATCGCATTAAAAAACAAGCTAGTGAAACCATACAACAACGATATGTACACTGTTCCGCGACGAGACCACTATGGCCGTATGATTCTTAGCAAACCGGGCAACGTCGCAAAGTGGACGAGTTGAACTGAACCTCTGACATTGAAACGTAAACAGAGTGGTTCAGGATAGAATCCAGTGGAGAGTTCTTTATTAACACTTAAATAAACCTCCTGCTTCCATAAAAGGATGTAAATTTAACTATCTGAGCGACTACTAGCTTCCAAAGGACTCTCCTCCATGGATTTACTTAGTCAATTACGTGTTTCCGCGATCAAAGCTTTCCGACAATATGGCCACAGACAGGGACGGCTGCAGTATAAACAAATGAATGGCGTTGGAGCTGCAACACGCCCGTCAAATCTTCCTAGTCAATGGGGCAACGCATTATAAAGGCCAATAGACACTTGGTAAATGCATTAAACAACATAACCTTCATTATCCTTCCTGTTCAAGTCTGATCGTTTTAAAACAAATCTATCCCCCTCACAATTTTGAAATACATCAAAATAAAAGTCTAATATATGTAGACATTCACTCAGAATCACGCGGTCTGCGACAGACTATGGTACATACGTAACCAGTAGAAAAATTTCTAGATATTAAAATTACCTGCAACGTGATCTTGGCTTCCAACACATCACGCATCTGCTCTAACTGACGTGGTTGCATAAACTTTCTTGTATCTTGATCAATCGTCCACTGATTTTATAACAAAATAATACGGAGCACTTCTGTAGCTTGCGCCATAAATTCAAGTCTCCCACAATATGGCGACAAATGACACTTTGTTCGACTTCAAAGATGGCTCTCAAACGATTAACTCGTTTCAGATTATTCGATTCATCTAACTGAAAACGTCACTCAAGTCACTGAATGTTCAAAGGATTGTCTATCAAACGTAGGCACTTCTGTCACTGTCAACACACTAAACTAAATATTACATTATGTTTCAACATCTTATCTGCATTTCGAATAACCACAATATTTCAATTAAGATTTTTGGTGACGGTTCCCCTTTAACTCGATCATTTGAATCCAGCCATTCACTCATTACCTATCTCTACCACACCTGTCTCTCTCTACCTCCTCTGATCTCGAATTTATTTCCAAGGAATTCAAGAAGAAATTACTCCCACCCCCAAAAAAGAAAACTCGACAAGATTTCACGGTAGCGGGTATGCATATGACCGTCTTCTAGGATGTTAGAGGTACTAAGCACTTCTGAAACGTCGGGCAATTTCCACCAATTACATGCACCAACCCTCTACGCAGCCAAGGACTCAACTTTATTCGATTTAACTACACAACAGTTGGCAAACCTGCTGATCACACATCTGTGAGTCAGCTGCAGAAGGTGGGAGAATGTAAGGTGTAGTCAAGTAGTGGACGAAAAATTAACTGAACTGCGCATGGCATCATCTTTGATCAAAATTATCAATTTTTAATTGACCAATAATGTAGAGACTGTCTATCGAAGCAAGTCCAATATAAATTAAAATTTTATCCCACATAAATTTGAAAGACCCTCCAGTACAAAAATTTAATAAATTTAGGGTTATCCTTCGTCAGCGTATTCTAGAAGATGATCATGCATTACGTCGATCTGTGCCTCTACGTCATATCAGCTTCTCATGACGACACCTTACTTTTTCATACTGCGGTGTATCCATTGTGAGAAGTGTGAAATGAATAGGAAAGGTGTAACCGTGAAACTGACTTTATAATATTAAATACTCATTCGGATCAACAACAATGTTTGCCAGTGGACCAAATTATACAAAGTTGAAAACAAACTTACGACTAGCTATTAACCGTTTAAAACTGTTGGAGAAAAAGAAAACTGAGCTAGCCCAAAAAGCAAGAAAAGAGATTGCCGACTA